TTCAATCTATGAAAGATCAGGAAACCTGATGATTCGGTGTGGCTCCTTTCAATCTCTCGGACTCATTGAGATTAATTATGCTCACTGATCGCATAAAGGAGTCAGCTGGTTACCCACTATCGGGAAATTCTCGAGCAAGTGCGATTGACGATGAAAGCATCTATGCCAGAAGCGAGGACAAAGTATGCAGATGAACAACGCTAAACGAGACTTTGTATTTATTATTAGGCGATACGCAAGTAGACCATATAAATGTCGTTCCCACAAGTGCAACATTATAAGCTCAAGAGGAGCGACACGTTGCACAAAGAAACCCGAAGTGAAATACTGTGTTATGTTCCTATGTCTTCATTTAAATATACCGAATCTATCCCAAATTACTTTGCTGTAATGACGTATCATCTGGTCAAGAGACCATTAATAAGACTAAAACCGCAGTGAACCCTACACAAATTACTTAATGACGTACGACTGGGTTGGAGACCATAAATCAGACGAGACAACGCGAGCACTGGGCTTAAAACTGCACACAGAACCCTACATTATGTGATCAACCTATACGCACTATCTTAAAGCGGCGACAACGGCAAGTCATTATCGCTACATATGTCTGCCATGCCCCATTATCGGATGCCAAACATGTCAGACGAACACTCGAAAGCCTCGTAAGCTCTTCGATTTTGCCGGTTACATAACGCTTACTCTTGATCAGGGAGATTGCAACGTATATCGGTATTCATCCGCACAGAATATAATTTGCACCCCCCATTGAGGGAGTTCGTATTGGAGCGCTTTGTTCGTGCACGCGCACTCCAACACACACGTTCAATTGTCATCCAACCCGAGTGAAGTGTCGTGACTGTCTGCTTACCCTTCAAACACCCGGCTCCCAATTTTCTGCTTGATAATCGAGATTCCTTTTAGTTGAGCGCTGTATTAAATAAAGCGTATTTGTGTGGGTGTACTCTGGCGAGGGTGTGTGCCCACGGTCCTTGTATTCGACTTCTACGGGTGTATGTGGGATGTGACGAGACCCTATCGTGATCTTGTATTCACGGTAACCGACATCTTTTTAGAGTACAGCACACCCGACGGCTAAACCTGAAGCATCACAGATGACAAGTAATGATCAATCTGGATTCGGAAGATCCATTACCGGGGTACTCATGAGGCTTTCTGACACAACCTTTAAAGCCGCATCTTTTGCCTCGCTGCAGCTCCATATCTTTTCCGTTTTGTGGGGACCGGTAAGGTAAGCGTCATGTCAGAATAATTTTAGCTATACTTAATTTGGTAGCTGGTTAAACTAAGCTATTTTCATAATTTTCTTTGGGACAGAGATACTGGCCAATTAAAAATGGCATTTGTCTTCCAGGATTTGCCCGCGGCCATACTCATCAAAGAAGCAACCCACAATTTTGTTCGCGAAAAATATACTCGACGTTGTTAGCTAACTGTTAGAAGAACGGCTTACAGCATACGTTGCGCGATCAAATCATAAGGCGACGTGATTGCGCACACGATGACGCGACATGATTGCGCCCAGAGTAACGCCATAGGAAAGGCTTAGAGGTAACTTGGAATAGCGAACTAAGGACCTCCATATACTCACTTCGTCTTTTTTAACAGGTTATGAACCCAAATGACTCTGACGACGCACCAGGCGTAACAACCCCTGTCAGCTTCGACGCCGACTACGATCGGGCCACAGCGTCTCCAGTAGTTGTGGAAACCACGCCCACCGCTAATGGAAGGAGTGACGACGTCAACGCAAGGATCCTCGCCACGCTCCTCGACCTCCAAGCACGGATGACGCAGATGGAGGCCTCGCAAGTGAAGCGAGACGAGGACAAGCGTATGCACAGAGCAATTGAGTCTGACATGTTTCATTCCGCCCTTGGCAACGGCCGAGGGGGTACTCCGATGCACATCGACGCGCTAGGCCATTCGCCCGTGCAGCAAAGGGATGGCCAAGGCCGCTCATACATGCAGCGTACGCATGAGGCAGGAAGACGACCTGCACGGTCAAAATGGGGCGCTCAGCGCGGGGAAGTGCCGCAGCAAACCCAGTGTCGCTCACCACAGTTCACAGCATCACAGGACTACGCGCGACGAATGGAGCCGGTCGCACAGCAAGCGATGCGTGTACCAGATGAGCGTCAGCGCAGGCTCACGATTCGCAAGTTTGACGGAACGGAGT